CCACCACCCCCCCTCCCCCTTCTTAAGTTAGGAACAGTGCCTTAACCTACAGTTCTTTGTGGCACCTGACTAACTGTAACTTATTACTTTCCACCACTGGGTTTATCCTTACGTTGGACTGATACAAGCGCAAAGTAACGCTGTTTAACATGTTTTGATTGCAGCTCGTTTGTGCTCGGTTATATGATGCAAACACAATTCTTGCACATGAATCGAAATGGTACCTGCCAGGCTCCAGGCTCCGTAGATATAGGATGGTAATGTGGCACCTGAACCTAGCACGACTATGAGACTGTCCTGTGAGTAACCTAAAGTCCAAAGTTAAACCCTGCAACAATCAGTACTGTGCCCCCGTGAGCATGCATGCTTTTGGGCATTAACCCAGCCGAGGAGTCGCTATGCATCAGCCTTTGCTAGCCGTCCTACCCAAATTGTAAAGCCACCCTTCCGATGTGTGTGCACCCTGCAGGGGGACTGGGCAACCCGACTACAGCGTGACACCATGAGACAATATGCCCAACTCTTAATCATCCTCCTCGGTGACTGTAACCCGCTAAACCTGGTAGAAAAGTGGAAAATAACTACAGGAAACCAGTGTGGCTCACCAAAGACGCCCCGCCGAAAAAATACCCAGAAATACAAAAACCGAGCTAAAAAAGGTAGCATAACGTAGTCCTATGCCAACTTTGTTTGACATATCATGTGTACGAACAAAGTTTCACCAGACATGCCAACATTAGCTGGTAGAATTTTCTGTATTACATAAGCAACCGTGGTGCTGCGTGTTTTGTCCCTCCCGGACGCTTTCCTGGTTGCTACAGAGAAACCCCGGCTGTCCCCGTAACCCTCTAGCGGCACGGACTGCACCGATGCCCGGCGTGCAGCGTTAGGAGACTCCGCAGAGCAACCATGTTTCTTGGTACCGGCCATGGTTGTCAAAACCCTCGATATTCGGTCGATAACAGCGCTAAATGCAATTGTAGCCAGGTAACACTTATATATAAAACAGCATGGTTACATTTGTAGAAGAAATAGGCGAGATGGTGTGAAACATCGGAGGCATAACCGTGGCTAGTCGGTGACTTGAAAGACACAGGCGGGCCTCCCGGCTGCTGCAGCCCCGGCATTTTCTCCGGCAAAGAAAGCCTTTGTATTGAGCCACAGCTTGCCCTCCTCGCCTCGGCTATTTTCCACACAGCTACAGCCAAAAAACACAGTGCACAAGTTGAACTCACCTGGATATGACACGAAACCGCTACAGTGGAAGTATGCTCATCGCTCCGGTGATTTAAGATGTTAGGAAAGCCGCCGTGGAGATATTTCAGTGTCCGTCGCCAGCTCACTCTCCGCCTGAAGCTCCCTCAGCCGAGTCCCCCTCCGCTCCGACTGCCGGGCGGACAAGCTTCCTTCAACCCAGAGTCCAGCCAAGCACGGACCCTTTCAAATGTGACATCGGTAGTTTACCCGGAAAATGTGTAGTCTACGCTTATATTTTACATTGTCACACTACAAAACAGTGATATGTCTAATGTATCTGTTAATATTGCAATAATACACGAAACAGGCTTTTCCGGGAACAATGTATAATATCCCTTAAAAATACTTAAAAAAAAAAGCGTATCCCAGAGGACTTTGCGACACTGTCACTATCATACGCCTTCTTATTAGAAAGTTTTAACTCCCATACGGCAGAGTAGTTTGATAAATTATTTATTTAAATAGGGACAACTCCAAGTATGTTTAAACCATGTTATATTGGAGTAAAATCCTACAAAATACTGACCTACCATATCATTTTCAGTGATATTTAGTTCAGCTTCGACTTGATACCTGCAAGTTTTTCTGTAAAACAGCCCAGATGTGTCTATAGGGTTGCAGCTAAATAGTTTGTTACCACCTTAATAGAGTATAACCACTTTTTAAGTGTGTTTTTAATTGCATTAAAGATCCAGGAAATAGAGTTTTTTGTTGCATTTCGCTCTTATTCTCAGTTAGGATCCACCACTGGTGCAGTGAAGGGTATAAGCAGCAGGGGTGTACATACAGGCAGTGCAGTTGCACTGGGGCCCCTGGGGTGGGAGGGTGGGGGACCTCATGAATGACTTAAATTGCCACTGTGGAATGACCCCTGTGTTCAAAGAAGAGCTCATATTAAATTATAAATGGTGCCATTTGCTATAGACTACATTCCCTCAAAAATGTAAACCCATCTCTGTCATGATTTTCTTTTTTCTTTTCTCTCTTTGTTTTTTTGGTGAAGTAGTCGGTAGCAACCTACATCAATTTATAAACGTATTCTACATAAACTATGAATGAACTATTTAAAAATCTGTTAAAGTAAATAAATAATTTCTTATTTTCTAATTCTGACATATACAGGTATGCAATGATGATTGTTGGTAACATGTTCGTTGTCTAATGTCAAGTCTCTATTTGATCATTGGACAAGATGACACAATCTGGTTACTAGTTTAAATGCAACTCTTTGAAGCTGAGCACATCTACAAGTCCAGTGAGCAGTCATGTCTTTTAAACAGAAAAGCGGCTGTAAGGAATAGAGAAACGAACAGTAGGAAAAAGTAGCAAAGCTCCCTAAATTAGATTCACTTGGCTTTTTTCTAGAAAGTTGCCTGCAGTGTGTGTATGTGTGTGTGTGTGTGTGTGTGTGTGTGTGTGTGTGTGTGTGTCTGATAACTAGTAACTAGTGTGCACTGGAGCCCATGGCAACTACCTTACGCTACTAATACTGACCCTTCACAGTACACCCACCTATCAGCCATAGATCAGTTGGAATATATGAGAAAGTATTTAAACGTCCTCCTCTGTAACCTACCCGAGTACATAGTAGTACACCACCTCATCAACTACCACTACACCACTCTGGCTCATCCCTTGTGGTTTGGTCTATATGCAAGGTTAAAAAAAATCAGATTTGCTGATGCCTAAAATTTACTCACATACCTGTAACTCCAGTAAATACATTAAATTGAAAAGCAATGCCAAGAGGGAGCCCCTCTGTGTAGAGTCTGCATGTTCTCCCCGTGTCAGCATGGGTTTTCTGCAGGTACTCAGGTTACCCCCCACAGTCCAAAGACATGCAGGTTAGGTTAATTGATGACTCTGGTGTGAATGGTTGACTGTCTCTATGTGTCAGCCCTGTGATAGTCTGTCCAGGGTGTACCCTGCCTCTCACCCAATGTCAGCTGGGATTGGCTCTACAAACTCAAACTCTCCCACCACTGGTAACGTATAATCCAAGTCTCATTTATTTAGCCATATGCTCAGTACTTCCTAACCAAATGCATTTAGCTAAAACTTTAAAAAAAAAAAAAAAAACTAAACTGAAAGTGAAACTTGTCTAAAATCTCTTTAATACCAGACTCTAATGCTAAAGTTTGCTAGCCAAAATGCTCAAGTTTTGCTGTTGTTAAACGTGGTCCCCAGTCAGTCAGTGAATAAGTACGCTCTCCAGGAGGCATGCGAGATGAAGTTTTCTTCACGAATTCAAAATAACACAGCATGACTTACTGTCATTTTATGGGTGAGGTATTCCTTTAACTCAAGACAACTGTTTCCTGAAGGTTGCTCTACATATTAGGCACCTTATTACAAAGAGGAATGTGTGTACTATTTAAAATGTCAACACATGGGCAATTCATACTAAATGCAATGCATTAGTCACCCTACCAGCCCAGACCCAAAACAAATTGTTTTTTACCGATTTAAAGTTGTGTTAAAACTATTGATGAGAGATAATACATACATTTGCCTGCTTAACATTAAGTCGATGCAAACCTCTTTAGATACAGTACAAAATGGCTTCTGAGATAAAAAATGTAGCACCTTTTGTCATTTGACATTAACGGATCACTTGCTTTCACTTGCCTTACAAATTTCTCAAACTGTCACATTTTGGATTCTTAGCTCTTCTCGAGACACCAGCAGCCCCGGATGAGCTCATATCTTACACCCAGACACCAGCAGCCCCCGATGAACTCATATCTTACATCCAACACATTGACTGAGAGTCCTCTCACTCTCCTCTCTCTCATTAACCCTGAATGGGGTTAATAGAAGCTTATCTTGTGCACGGTTCAGGCTACTGCAGTTTAAAGTCTTGTCTTGTGTGCAATATCTAAGCTTGTAAAAGTATTTGTGACAACCTACAGGACCAGCACGTCACCCATAGACTCCAGCCATGCCCCTGTTTATCGAAAATATTTTAAATGCTTTTCAGAATATATTTTCAGCCAAAAAATCTGAGTAGCCATCTTGGAGTTGCAAAATAGAAGGTAACAAGCACACAGATAACAAATATATTATAGCTTTTTAGTCAGTATGATATGGGTGTTGTCTTGCCCTCTTGAAACATGTTAGGATGGGATGTAGGAATACAATGTGGGATACATTTCTGAAAAAAAAGTATCGAATGAGTGTGTAACTTTGAATAAAGGAAAAAAGGCCTTAAAAAATGTCTTTATAAGTCCTATTTTTAAGTTTTCTTAATTTTAATAAATTAGAGGGATACAGAACAGATATATATGCCCTGATGCATGTTGCCTTGTGCTATTATGATGTATCTGTGACTTAGGATTGCTGTCGCCATGCTGCACTATTACCAGTGCCACTCCTGTTGGCACACATCCTTTCACGTTACAGGAGCTCTGAGTCACGTTCCATTGTTTCTGTTGGGATATGCCGCAGTTTGATGGGTTTCTTTCCAGGGTTGTTCCTCTGATCCTGATCTCAAAAAGCAACACAGCTTCTCAAGAGGCAATTAATCCACTAAAGTGTCTGGCTACATGCCTCCTGTAAGTAAACATCCAGTTCTGTTTGGCTTTGAGTCAGTCAGTAAAGTGTAGTTAGTATTTTCATCCAATTGGTGCCAGTTTAAACCAGGATTTCCCTTGATATTTGTGTTATTCATGAATGCTTCTAATGGTAAACAGAGGGATTTAGGGCTGCAACCATCTAGTATTTTAATTATTGATTAATTTAAATAATTGATTAGTCTTCAAAACATCAAAGTTCATCAAAGCGCAGTTCAAGTTAGCATTGGAGGAACAGTGAAAAAACTGCAAAACCTAATAAAAACAATTTCCAAAACAAGCAAACAAACAAAAAAAAAATCAAACAAATATAAAGCTGCAAAAATATACACTTACCATAGAACTTCAATTAAAGCGACACTTACCTTTCTGGAAATTTTATGCTTTTCTTTGTTTAGGTTAAAATGCTATTACTAAGCTGATGGCACACTATAATATAAGTGAATTCCACCAGAGATAAAAACTATAGACTGTATAAATTATACCATTCTCATATGGTTCTAAGAAAACTCTGACCAATCATTGCATTGCGGACCGAATGCAATGATTGGCCAAGTGTCCTGTTTGTCTTCCCCACATGGAGGCCTCCAACTGACATAACCACTTGCATAATATCCACAACATATTTTTTCTGAATGCTGTGTGAAATGCAAGTAAGGTAAGAGTAGCTTTAAAAGCCTAGTCCCAATTAAACCCAGTCCGTTTTTCTAGCTGGGTGTAGTTACACAGTTTTACAAATAAAGGCGTGTCTCAATTAGACACGCAGTCTGGTTGCCAGACTGGTTTTTATACAAGTTGTTTGGATGTAAAAAAAAAAAAAAAAAAAAAAAAGGTTGTTGACTACCCACTTGAGGTAACATTAGTTAGCTGTTAAGATGACACATACAATTATAAATGTTATGAACATGCTACACATTGTTAGCTCAGTTGATTTCATTTCACTGAAACCATGAGCACAAGAGAAGACCGCAAGTCATTCAGATTTACCTGCATGATGAGAAATCAAGTGGTGACACCCTTCTTCTGAAGCTGTATAAAGTCAGAATATGTGTGTATTCCTCGATTACCCAGTAAGTTATTCCTTTAGTTCGTAAGGGTCCACCAATCCAAAGAATCAAAGCTGCTTTTTTTCACAACAATTAATCCAAGTTATGAATATTGTTTTAACAGGATAAAATTATGTTGTGTCGGTATACCAGGTGCTGTTATCCTTGGGTACCATGAAACAAAAGTCATAACATAACACATAATTGAATTTTGATTTCTGTGTAAAAGGAATTAAAGGCCTGTTCCATATAGACACGTGTCCCTAATATAAGCCTGTTGAGTTCAGTGATTTAAGCAAATAACAGCCCAGGCTACTAATTGAAATTGTATGGTTGCTTTATAGCCCATGGCTAGTGTGCTGTTGATGAGTAGGGGAGACCGGGTATGGTTGTAACCTTTTTGACATTTCTCTCTGTATCTTGGAGCTCTCTTAAACCAGTGCATTCAAAAATGTGACACCAACTAGTTACATGTGTTTGCTATTCAATGGTGGAGCTGTTAACACAGACTGAAAATATCTGGTTTTAGTCTCAAACACAAGGATAGAAATACACTGTGTCCTAACTGGATGCGACACGAGTGAATGTCAGTGACTAAATCACTTTGATTGTATTGTTTTCTATTGGACTGTCCTGTTTGCGAGCGACACAGCAAACTGGTGTTTGAGCGAAACATTTGCTAGA